TACCCAAATCAGATAAAGCATTAAATAATACAGAATATTAATTAAATGTACTAATGGTTTGTGGTGATTCAAAGGGTTCATTTTCTAATTTAAATAAATAATTATGTATTCAGATGATAATTGGCCTTAAAAGAATACTAGAAAGAGCACAATTAAATTTGAGAAATTCTATATATATATTATTAAATCTATATTTTTATTATTAATATATAGTTACAGAATAATGATAAATTCACAAGATCAAACATAAGCCATCCTTAAAGGATTAGATTTTAGGATAGGGAGTTTCATAAGCAAAGTTTTAAACTAATGATAATAAATTATAATCATAGAAATCTACGGTATAATGGAAGAGTTAGGAACGCTGTGATATATATGGATGTAGAGAGATTTTTTAATTACATTTAAATGCTTTCTTTATGTCATTTAGAATAACATATATTGAGGAGAATCAAATTAAAATATTATATATTTGTTCTGTAATTAAGGATTCAAAGATAGAAGATACTAATATTTGATTAAAATGACAAGTAAATATGATAAATATTCAGAAAATCAATTTGAATTAGACAAATTAACACAATCATATTTAGTTAATACAAAAATACTTTTATTCAAGGCACAAAAGATTATAAAAGGTAAATTAGCATTATAATCTGTAATTTAATTAAATCAAAGAGCCTGTGATGCAAGTAATGATTTTTTAGACTCATTCATCCATTTTAAAGAGCTAGACCATAATAAAGTTCCTTTTTTTAATTGTAATTTTTTCTACAATATAGTTTTTCAAAGTAATCATTTGAAATCCCATAATTTAACTATTTAAATACTAAAATGATGGAATGGATTCAAAATCTTAAATAATAAGTATCATCATATACTTAATATAGTTTTTATGATGAATTAGAAACGATGTCCTTAAAATAAAATAAAACTGATGGCAACTTCTAAATATTCATCAATGAAATTTAGAAAACCAATCTTTGTTGGACTTCAAAATTGCATCCTATAGTGGATTACTTTAATTAATTGTTAGAATATACTCAATGTAAAGAAGCCTTGTCAAATTTAAAATTGGATTCTTGGAAATTTACAAGAAGGGACTGATAATGATGATATGACATGGATTGTTAAATAAAACTAATTAAATAAAAAAATTTATAAGAAGATGAAATCAAATTAAAGTTAATTAATTAATCTAGATGTTGGGCACTAGATTTTGATTCTTATGGGTCAATTATGGTATCAACTTAATCGAATAAATTAAAGTATGGAGCTTTCTAAATGGAACAATTAAATTACAAACAAGATTGTAAGGACATAATGATTCAACTAGGTGTTGAATATTAATTAGAAATAGAATTCCTTAGTTGCAGGTGACAATACAATAAGATGCTGGAAACAATCGGATTCAATTTATTGGATTAGTTCATAACCTTATAAAGAGCCTAAATTATTTGTGAGATTTTCATTGAATTAGAATGAGGATTTACAATTTTCTGGAAGTGACGATAATTTAATTAGATTATGGAAGGTTTATTTTGATAAAAAAATATTGACATACAATTATTTATTAGATAAACATAATAATGAGGTGATGGCATTAAGTTTAAATTAATCAGAATCATTATTAGTTTCATGTGCAGATGGGAAGAATTAAATTATTATTTGGGAAAGAAGAGAATAAGATAAGTATGAATTCAAATAATTTGTTATTATGGATGAATTTATAACATAGAAAAAAATATATCATTGATTAATTGAATTATAGTTATCACTTACTCCATCTATAAATAATTAATTTAAGATTATGGGCTTAAGGTTAAGTTTATTAAAGACAATTAATTTATATTTATATATGGTGGTTAAGCAATAGATAAATTTTATGTATTTGAATTAAAAGAGGGAATCTTTTAAGAAAATTTGGAAAAGACTATTAAATTAATTAAATATAATTAGATCTTAGATGAATATCACTTTCCAATAATTTATAAAAAGGAGAAGAATATGATATTCGTAAGACGAATGATGGGAAATTCAAAATAGTTGATTAATTAATTATGAAACATATTCAATTTATGGGACTATCACAAATTATGGACAATATTTGGTTTATTGGAATGATAAAAATATAGGATATTCAAAATATTAATTATAAAATTAATGAATAATTATGTTAAAGTAAATTTATAATTCTTTTTCTATTTTTTAGCAATCCAATTAGATTCATTTTTTTAAAATTATTTAATAGCATCTTAGATAAATCAGCCGATTGGGCATCAATTTTAGAATTTAGGTGAATATATTGTTTGAATAACAAATAATGTAATTTCACAATTAAAGTTACAAACATGCATATCATAAAATTTAAATTAGAGGGAGACCTTTAACGATTTTAATTAAAAAAATCCTACAATTTAAGAATTACTAACTTTTAATTTGAATCTGTAACCACCCCTTCTTATTAATTTAAAAAGCTCAAATATGGGACATTAGATTTTTCATAAAGGATAATTATTAAAAAATGTAATCAAGTTCTAAATTAAAAGAAAAATAAAAATTGAATATAATAACACTCTAATTAATAATTTGCTACAATATAATTAAAATTGAATCATTTGTATTATCAAAATTAAGAAAAAGAAACTTGAGTTAGACAGAAAATATAAGAAAGTGTAAGAAATATAAATCTTTATAATATATTTTACAAAATAGGTAACTGTAATGATTTCGTTTTAGTATTGAATTTCCATAATCTAATAGATATTAAAAGATTAAAGCTTATTCATTTATAATAAAAAAATCATTCTAATTATTCAAAAATGTCCTATCAAATTTTTTGTTTGTATTGATAGACTATAAAAATTATATCTTGTTATGAATATTAAATTAAACCAAAATCTACAAAAATATATTTTCCATAAACCATAAAATAGCATCAAATTTAAAGAATGATCATTAAAAAAATTCATATACTTTCATAAACTAGATATTCATTTAACACTATTTACTCTTCAAATAATAATAATTTTTTGTTACAGCTTCTTATATGAGTAATGTTATCTTTTGATTCTTAATTTTAATGAAAATATCAGAACATATTACTTAATTGATTGTTTTTGAACTTTTTTTTAGAAGATTTAATCATAACTGGATCCAATGACCAACAGAAATGATTAGTAAGATGAAAATATAATCGTAATGGAAAGGATTTAGAATTAATTTATGACTAAAGATATTTTCTACTTTAATAAGGGTTATCCTTTCATCAATAAAAATAGCTACTTTTTGTAAATAAAGGTAAAATATGAGAGTTTTGAAAAATTCATAAATCCTCCTTCATCAAATTAAGGAGAGACATTTGGAACTCCATGTGCTCAAGAAGACTAAATAGAAATAAATTAAATAATCTTAATAACTTAATTTCAATCAAAATTCATATAAGTTAGATTTTTTAATTGAATAACTAGATAATTGCTATAAAAATCTAGAATATAATTAATGATATTTAATAAAAATATTAATTAAGGATTTTTATCATGTAGGTTTAATATGAATTAGTTGACTTAATCATAAATAATTTAGAAGAAGTAAATTAATATCAATTTTTGATTCAAATTAAATAACATCAGAAAAATGATGAGAATAAACTTCAAACAAAAAACTATTAGTCCCTTGCGCTTGAATGAAAGAGAATATTAGGATCTTTTTTTTTACTCTAGAAGTTATCTTTCAACTAAATTTAATAATTAACTTAGGCAATGGAGCAATCAGCTATTTGAATTAGGATAATCAATGAATCTGTTTATTGAATTATCCTTTATTATAAATTAATATTTGCTTATGAATTAAAGCAAGACTGTTTATAAAAAGAAGATGTGATTTTGGTTATTGATTAATTTTAAAATAAAGTAAAAATCCTGATGAATTTATCTTTTATAAAATAAGGAATCTATATTTTCAAATTATAGATATAGATCGAGCGTTAAGTTATTTAATATAGTTTATTTAAAATTAAAACACTTACTATTGCTTTTCAATGCAAAGGTTCAAATTTATCCTCTACTACTTCTGCTTATAAAGGTGTCTTATTATTAGGTCACTTAGGACTTTTAAGCTAATTTCTGGGTGAAGATGCAAAAAATTCAGTGATGTAACCAAAAGTGATCTCAATTAATATCTAAAACCAATGTCACTTATTATCATAGAGGTAAATTTATTACCTAGGACTTGCTTAAATAAAGAATTTCGAAATAGATTACATAATATTAGGTTTTATATTCAAGAAAAAAACTTTGGATTAGATACTGATGTGGGCAAGGGGCTAAATTAAGAGGTAAATTATGAAATTAAGGAAATAAATTCTACAAGGAGATTATAACTTATAAGACAAAAAATTGAAGATTAATATAGAGTCTTGTTAGGATCAGAAATTGCAATTAAACTAGCGAAATAGAAGCATAACATAATTGTTTCGTCCTTATTACTTAGTTTGAAAGATTACAATCTTAAATTTAGCATATTTAATAAGATGAGAATAAATATATAGTTCTATAAAAAACCTTCAATCTAGAAAAAAAAGTTTTAAAAAATAGATAATCTCAATATCTGGATTCAGAAATTTATCAATTATTCAAATATTTCGATATAATATTTTTAGTAATTAGATAAATCAAAGAAAAAATATTGTAAAAATGAATTCTAAACTAAATGATAAGGTCATTTTAATTGCATATAGCTCAGCTTAAGCTTTGTAAAACAATGACTAATCTTTATTCTGTAAAATTATTTTCTTATCCCTCAAATACTATAATAATAATCAATGATTGATATTGTCATATGTTAGAATAAACAGCTAATTTTACTTAATCAAATAAGTATTATTTAATGATAAATATTAAATAAAATTCTTATGCTAAATAAAATGGTTAGAAATTCCAACAAGCCTTAAGGAGTATATATAATTATATTTATAACTGTTATATGAATAATACTTGATTTTCTGAATAAACTCTAGGTTAAGAATAAGTATTTTATCTCAAAAATGTTAGAAATATATTTATTAATTCTGCCCTATTGAATTTGTCTATCATTCATCTGTAAACATAACAATGATACAATTATTTGTATTAATATTATACGACAATATATGATCAAGTATTTTGAAGTAGTTATCGTTAAATTATTAAATATATTTACTAATTAAAAAAATAAGAAGCAATATTAATAAAAATAATAATACTATATATATATTTAATTTATTCCTGTCTAGTTAGGCCGTCATCTATTAATGTGTGATGGTCAGTCTTATTGTCCAAAATATTTTAGATATATCTAATTTACATTGAAATCGATTAATTATGGTATCTAAAAGAATGATACACATAATATACATATATATACCAATAAGCAGATTTTTTAACAAAATCGAAGACATACTGCAATAATAAATTACCGAAAACTTATCTTTATGCATTATTAGGGATTTTAGAAATCTTTCATTAGACTATATAATTTTTAATTAGCCATAAATACTAAAAGAAATTTGCCTATTAATTTAAAGATTTTTTGTGTTCAGTTGGTTTAATTATAATAGGAAACCCTTCATAAGTATCTAGTAGTAATGATTTTCTTTAATGATTGGCAAAGGTAATTTAACTAAGCCTTTTATTTTCAGAAAATAACAACTTTATTTCCATCAGAAAGTTTTATAATAAACTCTTTAAAGTCTTGATAGACATGCTTCTGAATAAAATATTAGGCACAAATATTATTTTATACAATTTAGATTAAATATTAGAATTGCTGGTTCGCTTCAACCATAGTTCTGATAGAATAGTATAAAATGGAAAGGAACAGAAATAAATGTTCTAATAAATCAATTATTAATATTTAATAATATAATAGTATTCAATTTATTGATTTTTTAATTAATAGAATCAGAAATCATTTAATCTAAAAAACTATTTGGATTATTTTAATTTAATAGGAATTTGCTATTAAATTTAAATTTCATTTTTTCATAACATATGGAAAAATAGAAAATGGAAGACTGATTTGAAAGAAGAACTAAATTATGTTTGGAGAAATTAAGAATATTTTTTTAACCTAATCTAAAATTACAATTGATATCAATAACTATAATCTATCATTAATTTTTAGAAATAAAAAAGGTAAAATATCTGACTACTTCTGTATTAATTATTTATCTAAATTTCTGTTAGATTAAATCAATTTTTTTATGCATAATTAAAGATATATGATTTGAATCATTCTTAGAAATTAATTAATTGCTATTATCTAGCTTTACAGTTCAAATCTATTATACACAGAAAAAAGGTAAATCATAATAAGGAATGTTATATTTCATAGTTTTGATTTTTAAATGAAATGAAAATATTTTCTTTGGCTTAAAGCTATTTAGGAGTATCTAATCACAAAATCATTTTCAACATGAGAATCAAAATAATTAAATGGATTTTGAGAAAAAATTAAGATAAGCAGTCCATTTAAAATAAAAGATAAATAATCTTAATATTTTAAGTCTTGATTTTCATTTTTAGCAAGATCGCTAGCAGATATCAACATCAGTGGTACCAAAATCAGGCCTGCATCTGAAGATAATGATCCTGAAACAACCCTAAGGATAAGTAATAGCTGCTAAAATGCTAGAAGATGGCCTTCCTTTGACTAAACAAGAAAGTCCAGAGAAAGACTGATCATCTAGATTTAACATTAATAAAAATGTTAATTTAAACTTGATTAAATATTTCTGGCACTTATTTTTTATAATTGCTATTAGAATTATTGGATTTTTAATATTAATTTTAATTCTGATATATCTCATCTTAATCAAATTTATTTGTAATTTTTGAATGAAAATTTTATTATTTTTTTTGAGAATATATATTTTTGAGACAATTATCAATTATAAATATTTCATTTAAAAATTAATCATCCCTTCCTTTGTATTTTTATACAATCTTCAAAATAACATTTTTTGCTTTGTTTCATCAAGATACGTTTTTCTCATCAAATATTTTAGTGAGGAGCTGATAAAGTCTATCCAGGTAATTCCAACTATAGATTTGATGGTTACAACAGTTTCTTATCCATTATCCATTATTCTATTTTGTCCATTTAATGTATTTTAATTCAATACTTATTTCTATTATTATAATATCATTAGTAGCAAAGGAGAATTTTGATAATGGTCTATTATTTATTTCATTCTAATGATGAGAACAAGTATATCGATCACTACTTATTAAATACTGTCTAATACGATTTAACTAATTTAATACCCACCATTTCCATAACCGAAATAATTATTTTTTTAGATCAAATCTCTAAATCCAACTCCTACAAAAGCATAAGAAGGAATATTAAGCATTTAGAATGCAAATTGTATTTTTACAGTCTTTGGAATAGTTTAATCGCTAAGACAACTACAATAACCCCCATTACATTCAAGAACTTTTCCACCTACACTTACTTAATAACTACCATGCTTGTTAGTATTTGAAAATAATAAAGATTTTTGATACTATTAAATCTATAATTAGTATTTTTTAGAATATACTTGATTAAAGTAATCAAGTTGTCTTTGAATTATTTAAATTTCTGATTCCTTTTGATTCAATCTTTTATTTATTTCTAAAATTTCTGTATTTTCTAGTCAATTCTAATTAAATATTTACTTTTTATTTTCTAAATTTTTGATAGTGTTTAATTTATCCTCCTCATTCTACTTTTTAAGATTTATCATTTCTTCTGTTTTTTATTCTAATAATTCTTTGAACTTTATATTCTCTTTTTCTTATTATTATAATTTTGCATTTATACTATTGATTTGTGGTTACCCTAAAAATTAATTTTTCATTAATTTCGTCTTTTAATTTAATTAGAGCTTCTTAATGTTTTATTTTTAATCTAAATTGAAATTTGATTTAAGAAGTTTGCATCTATTTTTCATTGATATAAATATACTTTCAACTCTCAAATTTTTATTCCTATCTGTTACTTTGAATAAATCTATTTCTGATTATTAAATATTACAAAATTTCTATAATTATTTACTCTATAGTATAATCATTTAAGACATTAGATAGATTTAAAAATGATGCATTTATTGATTCTGGTTTAATAACTTAATCTTTAGTCTAATTTTAGAATTTTTGTTAAAACTAAAATATTTTATTAGTAAGCTATTAATATAAAGTTACAGCTTATTCAAATAGATTTGATTAGCATTAATAGTCTTTAGCCTAATTAATCAATTCTTCCACATTATTAATAATTTGAATCAAGTCTTGATAATTCTCATCCCTTTTGTAATGTGCATTTAGAAAATTATTAAATGAATTCAGATTTATAAATTAATACTTGATATTTCTTTGAGAATGTCTAATGATTATTGTACATCTTATTGATATTACTATTTGAATGATTCTCGATTTCTTTTTTAAATGTAGAATCTTGATTTTTTAAGTTAATATATTATTAGTTTTAAGTTATTTTTTATTTATCAATTAATTTTTTTAAATCTTTTAACAATTATTCGTCTTCTAAAGCCTAAATTGTTACATTCTTTATTTTTTGGTTTATTTGCTTTTATCAAATGATTAAACTATTTTGATATTAATTTCTCACTGATTTTATTCAACTTTTTATTAAAATTTTTTCTCATCGAAGCTATTAATTTGTATAAATCAGATTTTTTATTTTTGCTTTCCTGTTGATACTCTGATAACATTTTATCTGATTCTGAATTGTAATTTCTCCATTATTTATTAATGACTCGATTATAGAGTATTTAATTTATGGGTTCTCAGCAATGCAGTCACATGCAAACCTATCTTCAATTTTCTTATTCTAAGAGTCCATATCAATCATAATAATTTCTGTTTTATGATTAGGGCAAATTCTATTTAAACTTGGTGTTTTCTAATAATAAATGATTTACTCTTACAGATTCATTTTTTGTAAAAAATAATGGTGGTAACTACAGAATATTATTTTCCATTAAATCTTCAATTATTTATTTTGTTTTCTCAAATATATCTAAAGTCTAGAAATATTTAGCATAATTAAAAAGTAATTCAAATTATCTTGTTACATCATCTATAAAATTATTATCTTCTATTAATTTCTTTGAAGATATTAAATAATTATCAGAATTATATTCTTATAATTATTTAATATCTTCAAAGTAATTTAATTAAAAGTATTATTCATGTAATTCTGATTTCTCTTTTTAAATTGGAAATATATATATATTATTATATTTTTTTATACATCTTTTCTTAAGAATCATCAATAGATCTTTTAAAGTCCATTATTTGATCTAGAATATTCTTATAACAGTTCAGTCTAGATTAATTCTCTTTAGTCTTAATTTCTTGTTATTAAGTCTTTATTTTTTAAATTCTTTCTTTTGATTGTTCAATAGTTGTTACTTTATTATTGTTTAATTTATCCACTAAACATTTGCCACAAAAAAATTAAATCTGCAATTTATCCGACATATCCAAATCAACATCAATAAATTCCAAATTATGAATCTTACAAATTGTCTCTAAAGAGTCTTAAGTTTATTTTCCTTGCATGATATTAAATTTTTATTGATAACAATATTTTATATGTTAATTAAATATTTTCTAATTAATATAATTTATTTTATAATATAGTGAATGGAAATAGCAAATAATAATCAAAAATGATTTCTATAGACATGCACAAAAAAATCATCTGCTAAAAAGTTTTATCTAATTCAAATGATATCTTAAAAGAATAGATTTTTTGAAACATTTTAATTTAAATTGAATTTTACAATAATTTTATGATAGATCAATTATATACAAATGATTATTGGGTAATAAAGTCTTACGAACTTGACTTTGTGTTTTAAATTCCTTTCTCATGGTTATGAACAATAAATATTCACCATCCTTGACAATCTCATACATTTTTTAGAAATTTTGCATTTTTTTCATTTTAGATTACTGATCTTGCTTTCTTAATAATAAACAAAATCTTCTTAACCTAAATATAGGATTCTTAGCCTTTATTAATGTTAGACTAATATAATTCCCAAATAGTGATAAGAGATTTTGGATCTACTCTTTTTAACATCATTCTTAATGTGTTTTACATTAGTATTAATCTTTCTCTTGAATTTAAGTGTTTTCTGTAGACCATATTAAAAAAGAATATTTCACTTTGAAAGTTTCATTATGATCTTAAGCCATTTCTTTGAATATCCAAGTAATTTCAAAAAAGAGAGGGTATCCTGTATCATTACTAACAAAAGGTCCTATTTTTATTTATTAACTCCAATTTATTATGAGCACCTGAATTTATACATCATTATTATTCTCAAATATTTAAATTGATTTTTGCTTGTTTTGATGTTTTGATTTGATTATTTTCTAAGATTATCTTGTAATTTTCAACTTTATATAGCAATTCTTCACTTAATTTCTATTTATATGCAATTCCAACTATTTCCCTTGTTGTTGGGTGTTTATTTAAAACATAATTTTCTTTATCAAATTGTCAGCATCCTCCTTTTTCTCAAATTGAGCATAGCCATACAATTTCTTTCCTTAATTGTCCCTTTGAATATGAAATAAAAGAACAGTACCAAATCTGTAAAATTCTTAGTCTAATTTTAGAATACAAACTAATTTCATAATTTTATTTATTCAAATTAACACATGAAAAACGAATGCTTCAACTAGTCTTGCTAATTTTTGATATATATGTTAGCTCTTTATATCAGCATAAAATGATAATTTAAAGATGGTTGAACTCCGATGTTAATTGTGAAGAAAATTCTTTTGATTTCTGAGTATCACTGTTAATCTTCAAGCTTTAAAATTCAAACACTTATTTAAATTTACTATTGGTTTATTTTAATTAAGTGAAGAATGGATATCAATTTATATGCCTAAATAGTTACTTTAGATTAATTTTATAATAAAATCATTTCGTATTCATCTGGTAAACTTTGTCATAAAAATAAAATAAGGATATTCACCTTGTTCCATGATTTTTACTTTTTCTAATATAAATTTATAAAAATATGTCATAAATCTAAAAATCTCATTAGACATTAAAAAAGACATTACTGAAGATTCATCCATTCATGCGACACGTAGAATTAGAAAATACCTAAACTGAAGGGAAAACTTAGATATTTTACCACACCGAGAATTTTTAAAGTCCTTCAAACATGACAAAGTAAAGAAAGAGTATTACCATTAAAGAAAAGTTGCTGATAGTCTATATAAAACAAAGAATAAATTAATTAATGAATTCTAAGATTTTAGATAATCAAATAACTCTTATAAATGACAAATAAATTAATTGTTAATCATGTTTCAATTTATCAATTTACTAGGATTGGCTTTTAATAATAGAGTATCTGAAAATTATACTAGATTTTGGTCATATTTAAAAAATATCCAAAATATTTTACTATCTTAACCAAAATGACTTGACAACCTAAATGTGAGAAGTCATAATAAGTTTTTGACAAAAAAAATACAATCTTAAAATACTCAACATATCATATATCAATTCAAAGCCAATAAATTATAAGATCACTTATAATTATATGAACATCAGATTATTCAAAATAACAACTAAATGTGGAGACAATTTTTCAAAAATTACATTTTACATTAAACCTAAGCTTTTTGTTGCGACTGGTGTTACATATGGTTTTTAAGGTTGCGACTGGTGTTATAGGGTTTTTTAGATCAGGTTGTCGAGGTTGTGATCGTGTTAACACCAAAATTTGAGGTTGCGACTGGTGCTACACTCCTTTCTTCCACATGAGTAGGGGTTCATATTGAAAAAATCCAATATGCCTTCAGATGTAATAAAGAGGAGAAGAACAGAATTATGGAAATAGTAAAACAAAACAAAACATTACTTATAATAATATTAATTATTAGAACTACAGAAGATTGTCTTTTGTTAAATATTCTCTTTATCTTTTGATATTACTTCCAGAATTCTTAAAATTTCTAAAAAAATATTGAATAATGAAAAATCCTCAAACAGTTAGAATTAAATACTATAATATATAATTTCATTTTTGAAAAATTTATCTATATTAAACCATAACTGCTCTTAATATTAAGCTGAATATTTACAAATATTTATGCACTAAAATAAGGATTTACAAGAAAATTAATTAATTAATCATATAACTCAAAATTAGTATAAATAAATTATTCATATAAAAATATCGATTTTGCAGTATATAACTTCAAGTTAGAGTAATAGAAATTCATTATTAAAAATAAAAAAGAATATGTCAGCCCCTTTTTAAGAGAAGGAAGCTCTAGCTGACATCTTTGGTTATATAAAAGATGTAGATGAGCAAAAGTTTTGTGTCATATTAGAAAATTTAAGAAAGGAAAAGGTTTAAGACATCATAGGATATCTTTTAGATAACTGGAATCAAAGCCAATTAGAATCATGCATCTTACAAAAAGGAGAGAATATCACCCTGGCTGATAAAGAATAGAAATTGTCTGTTGTTAGAAATGATATCAAATAAATCACAGAAGTCTTAAAAAAATTAAAAGACCATGAATTCAATAAGTTAGACTTTTCCTCTAAAAAAAATGAAGAATCTACATTAAGTCTTATTAACAGCATCAAGGATAATAGTAGGATCATTGAATTTTTGTAATTTTTAGTTCACATCACATCCATAGATGAAACTTTGATATAATGTGGGTCTAATTCAATACATATATTAGTTTATATGAAGGTTGACCTTAGAAATAAAAATTTTGAAAAAATAAAGATCTAAAATACATCCCTATTAGGAGCTAATTTAGTTAGGTGTAATTTTAGTGAATCCTAATTTAAAAATGTCAACATAAGTGGAATAAATCTGAATGGGGCGTTATTATTAAATTGTAAATGGAGTGACTTACGAATCTCTGAATTATAAAAATTTCATGGTCATAGTAATGCTTTCAACTCAGTCTGTTTCTCTCCTGATGGAAATACATTAGCTTCTGGTAGTGCTGATAAATCTATTGGTCTTTGGGATGTCAAAACAGGATAATAAAAAGCCAAATTAAAAATTCATAGAGGAAGTGCTTGGTCAGTCTGTTTCTCTCCTAATGGAAATACATTAGCCTCTGGTAGTGATGATAAGTCTATTCGTCTATGGGATGTCTAAACAGGATAATAAAAAGCCAAATTATATGGTCATAGTAATGATATCAACTCAGTCTGTTTCTCTCCTGATGGAAATACATTAGTTTCTGGTAGTAGTGATAAGTCTATCCGTCTATGGGATGTCAAAATAGGATAATAAAAAGCCAAATTAGATGGTCATAGTAATGCTGTCAACTCAGTCTGTTTCTCTCATGATGGAAATACATTAGCTTCTGGTAGTACTGATAAGTCTATCCGTCTATGGGATGTCAAAACAGGATAATAAAAAGCCAAATTAGATGGTCATAGTGGATATGTCTTCTCAGTCTGTTTCTCTCCTGATGGAAATACATTAGCTTCTGGTAGTGATGATAAGTCTATCCGTCTATGGGATGTCAAAACAGGATAATAAAAAGCCAAATTAGATGGTCATACTAGTACTGTCTACTCAGTCTGTTTCTCTCCTGATGGAAATACATTAGCTTCTGGTAGTGATGATAAGTCTATCCGTCTATGGGATGTCAAAACAGGATAATAAAAAGCCAAATTAGATGGTCATACTAGTACTGTCTACTCAGTCTGTTTCTCTCCTGATGGAAATACATTAGCTTCTGGTAGTGATGATAAGTCTATCCGTCTATGGGATGTCAAAACAGGATAATAAAAAGCCAAATTAGATGGTCATACTAGTACTGTCTACTCAGTCTGTTTCTCTCCTGATGGAAATACATTAGCTTCTGGTAGTGATGATAAGTCTATCCGTCTATGGGATGTCAAAACAGGATAATAAAAAGCCAAATTAGATGGTCATACTAGTACTGTCTACTCAGTCTGTTTCTCTCCTGATGGAAATACATTAGCTTCTGGTAGTGATGATAAGTCTATCCGTCTATGGGATGTCAAAACAGGATAATAAAAAGCCAAATTAGATGGTCATACTAGTACTGTCTACTCAGTCTGTTTCTCTCCTGATGGAAATACATTAGCTTCTGGTAGTGATGATAAGTCTATCCGTCTATGGGATGTCAAAACAGGATAATAAAAAGCCAAATTAGATGGTCATACTAGTACTGTCTACTCAGTCTGTTTCTCTCCTGATGGAAATACATTAGCTTCTGGTAGTGATGATAAGTCTATCCGTTTCTGGGATGTTCAGAATGAAAAAGAAATTTTACCAGCTGACAAAAATTATAAAGATATCTAAACTTAATTTACTTTTTTAAAACATACCTTTGCCAGGTATTTATTTAATTATTATTTGTTAGTATCCAATAATTTTACAATTTTACGAATATCTCAAACACCAACATTTTAAGCATAAGGTGCTTTAATTCTAAAAGGAGAATTTATAAATCATTAAGGTATTGATTTAAAAACATTATTCAAACAAAAAAGAAGTTGCTTGTTAGATGACTTTTAGTAAAAGTGATTTTGATAATTTATCAACAAAAATAGAAATAAAAATTACAATTACAATTAATATCTAATATTTACTTTTATTATTTCTTTATCAGATTTTACTTTTCATCTTCACTTACAAGCTAGGTAAGTCCTTATTTTAAAAGTTTTTTTCCATTACAGTTATATATAACAAATATTTATTGAGATGTCATAAAAAACTGTTATCAATTAATATTTATATTAATTGAAATTAAATGATACTTCATTTAAAAAAATACTCTACCAAAGTGAGCTATGAAGAGGCTAAAAGAAAGTATGAAATAATTGCTTAACGAAAACTATAAACTGAATTCTTATTATATCATCTAGGATATTTTGATTCTTACTAAATTTATTCTTATCTTTAAAAGGGAGTGGAATTAATAGTTAAAATTAAGAATTTTTATTATTTAGTTTTTTGGTTCATAAATAGAAAATGTATATTTTGATTACAAAAATAATTAATTGATATGTCAAGAATTAAAAAAATAAAGTCAAACATAGAAAAAATGTAAACTATAACAAAGTTAAAACAATATGATTTTTAGAATTACTCTGTTCTTGGTAATATTTTCATAACTTGTTATTATTATCCGTCAATCGATATTAAAATTATAAGATATTTTTAAAGACTGAAAAGATATATTAATCATCAAGAAGTATGAAATTATTGAAAGGATTAATATTTAAGGAGATAATTATATATTCCTTAAGAACCACCTAATAAACTTAAGTTATATGTGAATTCTTACATACAAAGGGTCAACTTTCAACATTTTTAAATCACTGAGATTATGTAAACAGCTTTTTTAATAGTTAGAACTATATAATGATTGTTACCTTCAAAATGATATTATCTAAATTAATTTATATAACAACTCATCAACTGATTACATTTATAATTAAATTAAGAAATTACCCTAAATCAATATTTAATAATTCAACACTATGTCTATCGAAAAATTGAAGAAAAAGTAGAATTAAAAAGGAAATGATGATTGGTAATGTTTTATACATTTCCATAATGGATAGTGTTAAAGTAATTCAATTTTTCATCTCTATAAAATGAGATTAACCCCTCAACAACATTAGATTAATTGCATGAGAAATCTATAGAACTTACCAAATATATTAAAAGGATGAAATTAATGTTATTAATTATTGGGATGCAAATATATTCTTTTATTATAAAATAATTCTTCATAAATATTCATTTTTCAATTATTATTCAAGATTCAAGGGTTAAAAAGCGATGATTTTATGTCACAGCAGAATTTTTGAATTTAAATATTAAATATGTTAAAAAATATAATATTTAAAATTCAGACCTTCATTTTTTTCATCAATTTTCTCCTCCTTCATCTTCCACTACTTTCTGCTCTTCTTTATTACCTCCAATGGCATAGCCGGTTTGTCTACCTCCTTTGTACCTCTGCTTCTTGTATAAATAATAATGTCTTTTGTACCTCACTTCGCTTGCTTCATTCACCGCCTCCCCCATCTCTTCCCAATAAGGGGAATTTAACATTGAAAAACTCTCCCTTAGCTCTAAAAATTTCCATCTGAGACAAACAAAAAATGGTATTATTAGAGGCATCTTAATTTCACTTCCTGTAAAAGGGTTTTTATAAAAAAGGAGCGCTTCAGTTTTAACCTAAATTTTGTTATATGCAATGTCAATTATACTTGTTTTGATATCCCAAAGAAGGATAGACACATATTTTTTAACGGAACCCTTAAGTTATTCAAAAAATATTTTAATTAAAGTCAGCCAAAACCAAAAGCATCATCATTTTTCAAACTTTAACACAAACAGAGTTAGGATGTTTTTTTTAAATAAAGATAATTGCAATTAGTATCAAGAAATTGAAGAAATAGTTTCAGAAATTCACCTCAGTGCAATAGTTTAATTCTTTATCAGGCCCATGATTTTGGTCACCAATTTATCATAAGGGCTCCATAAACTATTAAACTAGAGAGATTCCCATAATATATCTATTGATAGCTTATTTCCTTTATTTATTCAGTAACGAAATTCCTGAATTAATATTTTCCTTTTGAATTTACCTAAATTAATTAATTTGATTTAAATTCTCCTTTTAAAAACGGTAGAATAACTTTTTTCTAGAGAAATGCTTTGAGAGTCTTATCAAAAATTTGAAATCCTTAAACTAACTAAAAAAAGGTCAAAATGATGAAAATGTCAAAATAGATTAGAATGGTCTAAAAAATTTTAATTTGTTAAATTATTAGTCTTTCGGTTTTCTGTAAATCTCATACTCATCAAATTAGATGACTGTAATCGGCCTAAGAATATAACTATTTGACTTATCGAATGGTTTATACAAAGCATATATTTCTATTAGGTTTTTACTCTTTTTAATGCTACTTTAGAAAATAAATTGTTTGATAGGTATTTCTATTTATAAGAAATATAGCTACTAGAAAAAGATTAGAAGTGAAAAAAATAAGAGGATATTAGAAGCCCAAGTTCTCCAAATATATATTATTATGAAAAGGTAATTTAAGAAATTCAGTTCCATTTTATATATAGAAGCTAGTTGTAAGGGATATTGTGTATAGAAATATCAAAAGTAATTACAAGATAAATATTCAGGAACAGAAGATATCAATAAATTTTCTGATTCTTCGTTTATTAATAATAATAAACACCAATCTCAAGAATTAATAAAATATCTAAGGAATGCATGTAGGAAAACTTAACTATTATCATATAAGTATATGCAAGCAATTACTTTCTAAATAGAATGTTAATATATATTTAAATTAATAAATTCATTATTTCGTTTAATTTGAAGCTAGATTTGCTCTTCATGCTTGAAAAATACTATTTAATTATAAGAATGCTGAGGTGCTTTTTAATTATGATGTTTATTTTCAATTGATTAAGTGAGTGATGTAATAAAAAATGAATTTGATAAATCAATAAAAAGGAAATTGAGTAGTAAATAAAATAATAAGTAATATTGAATATATTGATAATAACATCCATAATAAAAACTTTTAAATAATATTACAATTAATTATAGTATAAATTGTGCTCCTATTCAAATAAAGAATAATACAATATCAATCAGGGATGGGAAACATTTGCTTGGATTGAAACATCCTTTCTATGAGTTAATAAATCTTGTGAAATTGATCCTGCTACATCAGATTTAATGATGGCATTAAATTTAGATCCTATAACAGAAAAGGTTGTATAAATTTTTCTGCATCATGTGAGACTATGACTAAGAAGAAATATTATTAAACAATAATTTATAATTATAACATTATGATTTTATAAAATATTCTAAAAGAAATTGTGATAGAATTGAGTTAATTTATAATCTTTCTCAAATAAATAAAATTTACAATTAAAATATTGAATATCATTTGTTACTTTTTGTGATGACTAAAAAAGGAGCCCCCTATTGATTCATTAGCTTTAATTCATAATGACTATTTTATAAATATTTTTCCTAAAAAATTTGTGTAAACTAGCAATTATGAAAAAACTTTTATCTCAAAATTTTTTTTTTCTTTTTAAAAAAATCATCTACAACTAATAATCATAATTTCTTTTTAAAACTGGTTTTTTTATTTGTGTGAAATCATTCAGGTTAGGATTTTATAAGTAAAAATTTTTTTTATAACATTGATCTAAGAAAGAAGTATAACCAAAAATTGTGAAAATATTTTAATCAAGTAAAGCAAAAAGTATTTATACCAAAGTATTTTATCATAGTAAGTAAATTTCAGTTAATTAATTAAATGAAATTTTTTAAGATGGTCACATACTAATATTTCCATCCCTGTAGGAAAAATAGTATTAACAGTAAATTTTGTGAAACTTATCATTGTAAAAAATGATAAAACACTAATTAAAAATTATATCTATAATAATTAATTCATATTAAGACTATGATTAATAAAGTTTAATATTATGATAACGAATATTTTTGAATAAATCTAATGTAAACATTAAATCTTAAATCGTATCAAAAGATTGTCTTTAAGTCTATATTCTCCAAAAATAAATCCTCTTGTTATTCATTAGACCTTGAACTATTTCTTGAATGATTTTGGTCAGAATATATTAAGGATCTTCCTTTCAAAGAGTAGTATATAATAATTTAATGTAATTGATGATTACTTGTATTTATTGATTTTATATATTCTTCCTAAAACTTTAAAATGACTCTCTAACTTTTAAATTTTCCCTTGCTAAAGTCATTCATTTTTTTAAACAATTCTAAATCTTTTTAAATTCTTGTAAATATACTTGAAATTGTTCCAAATTCTTCTCAATTTTAAGTTAGAATGAAACTTTAGTGGAAGGAAATAATTTTTTTGATAAAATCTATTATATCAAAAATTCTACTATATGCTAAAATGATATAAACAATTAATTTAGCAATGGAAAAGTTATTGAAGCCTCCAACTCTAAGATAATTGTAATGCCACAAAAGAATGATTGATTGTTAATCAAATATGTTCAATTAATTACTTAGTCATGTAAGAATTAATTGATGTGCTAAAATGACTATAAAAAAATAAAATTAAAGTAAAACGTTTGCTAGTAATTAATTATCAAATATTCTACTCAATATTCCTAGGATATTTATTAACTCCAATTTTTAATCATTATTTATATGTCTATTGATTCTAATTTTGTAATTTCTGAGAAAAGGTCAGATTTTAATTAAGAGAAACTGTTGAAAATAATATAATAGGATATTATTATTAGCAAAACCTATTTGTTTATTGGAATCAGTAATCAATACTCAGCTTGAAAAGAATCTAACATTGATTTTTTTGATTGTTTCTTATAATAACGTTGTATTAAACCCTATCCTTAAGGTATAACAAAATTTAACGCTTTAATATTGCCTACTCAGAAATACACTATTCAAAAGAAAAAAATGAGTGTTTCTTTAAAAGCTAACTTTTCTATATAATCTAAAAAACTATGTAAGGGTTTGCAAGATATACTGAATTTGAGGCCGTAACTACTAAAGATTATCAATTTTGAATAAAGAAAAGTTATCTCAGGTAATCCATCTCAATAAATTAATTCTGTTAGGTTACGAAATTAGAGCTCACTATATATTATAGAGAAGTATAAAAATCTCTTACTATTGTATTTGAAAAGTTAACTGAAAATCAACCAAAAGAAAATATTTCATTATAATTTATTATTTTTTTTGAATTAGTTGTTTATTATCCTAAAGAGTATTTTACATCTGATAATTTTATATAAATGCTATAGAGCATGAGTAAAGGCTTATCATTTCTATCCTTTAGACTCAAAATATAATCCACCTCCACTACATTTTATTTTTAATATAATTATACATCTATTTATCCTAATACACAGTTTCCCAAAACCAATTTTTTTTTCCATTTTTGAATTCACCATTATAAATTACTTGCGAATTCTCCTTAAAATCATCATCCAACTCAAAACATTTCCATACTTTGAATTAAACATCTTTAAAATAATTTAATTATTTTTGGTTTTGCTTTTACAAAGAATTTATTATAGATGAGGAAAATAATCTTGAACATTAATCCTTTTAATTCTATTAAATTTGGCTTGGATCATTTGTATTATTGTTTATTCATGCAAATATAAGAATTTACGGAATAAATTATGATTTTTTTTGAATAATTTTTTTAGGTTTCAAAATAAATTAATATTTATTATTAATATCTTAAATATTCTCTACTTTATTTGCAGTTAAATTTATGGAAATAATTTATTACATTATTCCCTATATGGCCATGATATATAATATTAAAGAGCTTCATCAAATATTTAAATTTGAAACTTTTCATTTTATAGAAAACTAAAAGAAAAAATAACAAATGTGACTGAGATAAAAATCTATTACAATAATTCCTTAAAAATAAAATTGATATCAAAATCAGATTTGATTCCATATACGAATGTGTAGTATTAGGAATCAAATCTATAAAATCTTTTTCTAATAACAGTCATAATTCTCGGCGTTATTTATAAATAATTTATGTTAAAATCTAATATCTAAAGATTCTACTAAGTTGATTTAATTTATTAAATTGATATAAAAACATATTGTTATTTTTTCAAAAACTGAACTTAGAAAAGACAACAACTCTTATAATAGTTCTTGAATGTTTAGATAATTTCTTTAAACTGTTAAAGGATTAGGAAATGAAACATCTGATACCATATATATATAACTGGTAGTTTGGTAATAAACCAATTTTTTAGTTTATAGAGGGGCTCTTATTCTTAAAAAATCTAAATATCAAAAGAAAAAAATTAGCAAAGGTACTGATGATATAATTTAATTTGATAATTTGAGTGAGAACAATCATTATCTTTCACAATTAATTCAATGTTATATTGTGAAATTATTTACTCAAAAGATTCTTAAACTTATCTAATATCAATTACAGATGTAATTAATTTTTTCTCTTTCCTTTTTTCGAGATTCTATCTCATATGTACATTTGAATTTTTTGTTAAATAATTGCCCATTTAAAGATTACAGATTTTAACAACTTTTTAAAAGCTTTCAATATGATTATATGTAAAATAAATTGCTTTGGTGTCAATTCAGCATTAAAGCAAAATAATAATTGAACAATATTGCTTATTTCACTATTATTTGAATACTGATATTTGAAATTAAATCAAATATACACAGTAACCGAAGAATATGTATTGATTAAATTAAGTTTAGATAAATATTTAAATAAAACTGGAGTTTATAAAATATCATGAATTTACTTTAAAAATCCTAAGAAAATTGCCTAATATATTAACTAGAAGTTTAAATTAATTTGATCTTTCAAAAAAATTTATTATCAGTGATATATTGAATCAGAAGAAATATTATTATTTTGAATATCTAATTGAGGTTATTTAATGTAATAATAATTATATAATAAATAATTTATTGTCTGATATCAGAAAATTAAATTATTTATTATAAAATTACTATTTCTTAAGTTTTAAATTAGGGAATATCCACTCATTGACTTGATATTGAACAATAAGAATCATCTTTAATTATTAATGAACATTTTCAGATTTTGATGTACTATTTTTAAATAAAAAAGAAATAGAATTTATAATCTAATACTTAAGAGATGCCTTCTAAATACTAGTCTAGGGACTACAAATCCATATCGGAAAGCTATCTTTCCTATTTAACGAGCATGACTTTTTCAAACAAAATAATATTAAATGTTATTTTAAAATTACATTAGCTGCAATTAATTCTCTATTTTATTAATCAATTCTCATTTGCTAATTGTAAAACGGATTAGTAAATGGAAGAAACTTCATTAAAAAACTAATCTGAGATGCATGAATACTTCTATATTTATTAAAATACCAAGTATCATAATATGATCTAATTAAAAAAAGAATATGAGACTTACTTCAACAATCACCTCAAAATTTCTTTTTCTCTATTTTTTATGCCAGAAACTAAATTTACAATTGAAGGAAGTTATTTACTTGATATTTAGTGTTATCATGCTTTAAAGAAATTCTATCGAATAACAAATAATCAATAATTTTTAAAATTTTGCTTGAAATGATATCTTCATGACTTCTGAGTTATTGTGATAAAGTTTCAGACATCACTTTATAATCCTAAACAGCAAACAGCAAATCATCCACAACTTTTCACCATCAACATAAACTAGAAACAATGGAAAATAAAATGATCTAAAAATAAATAGCAATAAAATCTTATTTATTGGTCAATTTCAACTTAAAGTATTTTTTTTTGTATTTCTTAAATAATCATTTTGAATTAAAAAATCTTTAATTATGCTTTATAATAAGCTATTTATGAGTTAATTAATAATTAATATTGATATTAATTTATTAATGATACAATCAAAAATGATAGAAAAAGAAGATGAACTTGTGTGTTCAATGAATCATAAACTTCCAATTTCAATGGTTGTTTTTGATAAAAGTTTAGAGAATAAAAAAAAACTTTTATGCAATGAATGTATAGATAATTTAGAATCTAAACTAAATAATTCTATAAGTTTTAAAAAAGTTGCTTTATTAATTGAAGAAAATCAAAAGAAGAAGTTAGAATTAGTGGAATATTTTATCATGACAAATAGATAATAGATTGAAGAAATTTAGAAGAAATTACATGAATTGAAATCATGCCTCATCTAGTAATTAGATTAGCTTATTGGGAACACAGAAGAATGGATCAAATGTTTATACTAAATTGGATAATAGAATGCCACTTACAGTTTCTATGAAGAATTGGATAGACTTATTAATTAAACTAAAATTTCAGAACTTTATTATCAACCTTTAGTTAATTAAATCACTTTAATTAATCACTCCTGGAATGAAAAGATAATAAAGAAATTGAATTAATTTAAATAATTTGAATTGGTTTAGAAGTGTGAACAATTATTAATAAATTTAAATAATATTAATTAAGAATAGAACTTAATGATGTAAACTAATCTTTTTCAAGGTTATTAACATATTGATAATTTGATAATAAATTATAGTAATGTTCAATTTAAGTTAATTGATGATTTCAATGAATAGATTAGTTTAAGTTATTAAATAGTATTTAATAAATTTGGAACAATTATGATATCGATTGATAGTTTTGATATTAAAGTTTGGGATTTTAATTAAGGAAGGTTAAAATTATAAAATCGGATTTAGGTACACCAATCTTCAGTTAAATGTTTAGTATATAGCAAAAAGGTGAATTGTTTTATATCTGGTTCTGATGACAAATCAATCATATGTTGGAAATAGATTAATAACAATGAATGGATGAGATCATAACTATATAAATATCATACTGATTGGGTTTTATGTTTAATTCTAAATAAACAAGAAGACCAACTTATTTCAGGCGGTAGAGATAATTCAATAAAAGTCTGGAATGTAGATTTTATATAGAATGAGCTTAGATATCTTTATTCTTTAGATAATACTTGGCCTGTATTTTCATTAAGTTTTAATTAATCTGAGACTTTTTTAGCATCCTGTGCAGAAAAACATTTTTTAATATGGAAAAAAGGAGTCAAAGATAAATGGAAATTAAAATGTAAATAATAGATTAGTAAGGGATACTAAATCTAATTTATCAATGATCAATAATTTCTTTGGGTGACAAAAGATTAAAATATTGATTAAATAATGATATTTGAATTGTAGGGTCAAGTCTTCAAAGAAAAGTAAGACAAAGTGATTTAATTAAATTCAAATCATCTATGTGAGGATTATTGGATTAATTTCCCTGTAGTATATAATCAAGATAAAAATTTGCTATTGGTTAGACATAAACATCATATTTATCTTTTTAACAAATTAAATGAAGACAACTTTAAAATTATAGGATCATTAAATTGTGATCATCGCAATATCTATGGAACAATGACTGATAATGCATAGTATTTAGTATTTTGGGATGGAAAATAACAGAAATATCATTCTTATGAGTTAATATATAGATGAAATTTAGTAATTAAATAATTTAAAAAAGTTTTGTTTATTTTATTTCTATATAAGAATAAGTTTCATCATTCGAATAAAATTTGATTAAGTTTTTTCAATTAAATCTAAAATATAAGGATTAAAAGAATTTAAATTTTGCATGAAATATTCTACTTTTTTTTAAAGATAGAATGAGTACCTACAAGATTTTATATAATTTCTACTTTGCATTTAAAAGATGTCTAAATAGGAGGCGGTAATAAAGCAATAAGTTTTCATTTTATTTTTAGTTAAATACTAATTAATTAGAATATAAACATATTTATCCAAATTCTAATTTATCCTATATTTCAATTATAATTATTGATGGTGATCAGGAAGCTTGAATTTGATTTTTTTTTAAACAATTACAACACTTAAAACTTTGAACTCTAGATTTGTCCTGCTCTAAATTAGTCGATTTGAAGAAATTAATCTAGTTAATACCCCAAAAACAAAATAATGAAATTAATAACCAATCAATTTACTAAAAAAATTTCAAAGATTAAAGCAATTTTTATTTATATAAAATATCCTAAAACTATAATCATATAATTTCTTAAGGAAACTATATTTATAATTGAAATAATACTAAACTTGAAGTTTAATAATCTTTAACTCTTTTTCAAATCAAAAATAGTTAAAAAATATAAAAGTTTATTCTTATTTTATGGAAATTTTTAACAACTCATTGTTATTGTTTTTTGTATAATTGGCTTCCAATAAAATTAAATATGAATTGGAGATCTAACAACATTAAGATGAGAGAGAAAATAAAAACCTGCTATATTAAACATATTGAAAGCCTTAGTAGCAAGTTAGAGAACGATTTTTAAGGGAATAATCTTACACTATCTCAAATATATTCAATTGAACAATTCTTAATCCTCAAAGGTATCTTCCACATCTAAAAAGAGATTAAACTCTTATGCTCACTATTAAAATCTATTTTAAAGGGCACAATCAAGATTTATTAACTTATTCTTCATAATCAATCTATTCATAACTATTTTAGTGGCTGAACTCAAAGTCTCGTTAAAGTATTGCTGCGTTCAATTTGCTAAGAACCAATTTTCTTAAGTTTGCCACCAAAAAGGTTCAAATACACTCCATATTTGTTTTCATATAGTTCTCTTTCAGAATTTACTTTTCAAGATCTACCAAAATCAGCCCTATAAGATAAACTTATGTCTCATCATCTCTATCTACATCTCCTGATGCCTTTAGTTAATTTACTATTTAAAATTAATCCTACAATCTAATCTATAAATTAAAAAAGCTCTTATTTCTATTGTCTTCTTTCTTTTCATCTTTTACCTAAGTAGAGAGTTCTTTCTAGATCAAATTAGTTTTTTTAGCTATTTGCTGATCATCTAATATAATTCAGTTGGTATTTCAATATCTTAGATATACATTTTCATCAAGAAGAGATTCCTCCAACATAAAATTTTTCCTCCCATGTCAAAAGTTAAACAGGTTAATTCTAGTATCATCCTCAATACATAGTTTAATGAGCTTGACTCTCAAATTGGCCAAGCAAGAAGTCTAAAATTAGATCCTGCTTAATAAATTTTCACAAACAAAGCAATTTAAGGGTTCTTAATCGTAACCAGCAGTATATCATTCTTCCATCATTAATAAATGAACAGATACAATAGTTTTAACATCGTTGGGAACTTAGATCACTAAGGGTACCACACCAGGGAAGACTCCGTAAGTGTGACATACATTTATTTCCCATTTTCTCATTTCATACAAGATCTCCTGATCTCCTCATCCACATCCATTAACTTTGGTATTTTGTTATTATGGAAAATATTTCTGATCCACTTTGATTAGGTAGTATAAATTTTAAATGGCATATTCTCTTTTAAGGGGTATTTATTAATTAAATCTTAATTTATATTTTGATTTGATCTATTTTAAATTTTATTTGAATCTTTATAAAACATAAAGGTACCTCTATTCTTTAAAGTTCATGTCATTTTCAATGATTAAAGGTTTCCCTCCTATAACTCTAATCCCAATAAAGGAAGTATTTACTTAAAATTCCTTCACCTTCTTACAATATTGCTCAAAGAAATAGCAATTTTATTTAAATAAGATTCTTAATTAGAATAGTCAAGTCTTTAATACAAACTAAAGAATTAATATAAATTCAATCTAAAGTGTCTCCTCAATCCAATTAAAATAATGAATCTTAATAATATTGCTACTCTTCCAAAAAAATAGATAAACATTGTGAACAATATTCAATTTTACTATCCAAACTCTGAGTCGAGGCTTGGAGTCGGGGGGGCCCTGAGAGAGTGGGCATGCTCGACGCCCATGTAAAGCTGCGGGGGAGGGATTACCCCCTTTTAGTAAACAGACTGCCGCACTGAGAAACAAGAAACTGAGTTGTGACAAACTATATTACCCCATTATAATTATTATTCAATTTTACTAAATATGAAATTAATTTATACTTGATTCTAAACTCTAAGTGAAGAATATTATAATCTAATTTCTTTTCTTCTTTCAAAAATCATTTATTTTCTTAAAGAATATTTATTATAATTAAGAGAAACAAGATTTTTTTCAGAAAGGCTTTATAATAATTATATCAAATGATTATTTTTTTCTGGAAGTTATTACCTCTAAAGTTCAAATCATCTAGTTTTACAGGAATGCTTAAAATCTATGCAAAATATCTGTAAGAATCTTGTATAATTTTGGTATTTAAATCTATTTTCATATTAATAGTTAAACTTAATCTCAAAAAATTATCCCATATACACTCTTATATATAGTTGGGCATCCAATACTTTATTTGATATATTCATACAATTTAGTATAATATTTCTTGAGGCGATACA